CCACTGAGTGTGACATCAGCCCCTCATCGTGGAAAAAAGACAAAAAGATATATATAGATAGATAAGTTTAAAAATAAAAACTCAATTGGATGTGTGAAAGTAAAACACGAGTATTAAATTACCTGCTGTAAATCCACTACGAGTTGTTACGTAGTAAAAGTCCGACATCTGTGACTCGTTTTGGGTCCATTCGACGACCAGTGTGGATTGGTTAGATAAAACAGTCCGTTTGCCGTCAAAAACATCGACGTCTCTCCACAAAACCAGCAAAAATCCACCCTTCGTCACCGCTATGACAGGTTAGCTAAACGTTAGCTAAACAGGAAGTGCAACCCGCGGTAGCACGCATGCGCGTTAACCTAAGATACAAGACCACAACGCCAATTAATGTCCCGGCATGGTCACTACAGGCCAAAAGTAAGCATTTGCGACTAATAGGCGTTTTGTAAAGGGCAAATACTGATTGGCTAACTGTATTTGCTGCTTTTTAAGTAAGTTACGTCAACTCTTGTTATTTATTTATTTACTTATTTTATTTTACTTTTTAAACTAAAGGTTTCTAAGAACCAGTTTTAAATCTACTATCAAAAACAAGAAGATTCTCTTTTGTTTTTGGGTTATAGGCTGCACCTGACACAGGTTGCTTTGAGTATGGTCTGGGTAAAATGAAATGTGAGATACCTGAGGAAGTTACCCAGTAAACAGAAATACTTGCTCCAGCTGCAGAAATCTTACAGAAACAGACAATCACTCATCTTTAGTGACTGCAGATTAAGCAAAACAATGGGAAAATAGAGGAATGACAACCTCTACTGGCAAACCCATGACACATGCAAAATGATGCTCCTAAAACATGTGAGAAACAAAAAAAAAGCAAAATTAAATGATGCAGGATTGTATCATGTAAATGACAAACTAGTCCTACCTAAATCTTTGTTTAAAGCTGCCACCATCTCGTCACATGGGCTTCGTCATGTGTCGAGTGGGGGGATGATTGATTTGATTCAAAGACAATTAAAGAAAAAGAGGTGTTAAAGGCCAATTTACTGCCTTCTGATTCTCTGTCTCCATAGGAAACGTCATCAGTTCAACCTGGTGACTGGGTTTTCATCAAGGTCATCAAGAGAAGAACTTGGGCCAGTCCTCGATGGGAAAGACCATACCAAGTTTTGCTGACCACACCCACCACTGAAAATAGCAGAACGAACCACTTGGACCCATCTGACTCACTGCAAGCTGATAAAGGTACTGGACTCTTAATCGACCAAGGTGTTTGAAAAAGCCTGACTGTAAGGGGGACTCATCGCCTAGGGTGAGAAGTCAAAAGGTCAGTGAAGAAATCTACGCTGAGTGCAGCAACCTGCCTTAGCCCTACACTTTGAATAGGCCACAAGAGTCCACTTACCTAGCCAGGATGGGACCGTCCCAAGCAGGATGGGCCCTCTGTTGTATCATGACCATCACATACCACCAAGCTAAAAGTGACTTGACTGATTTGCTACAAAATGACCTAGAACACCCTCATGATTACAGCACCAATCTCTGGTGGCAGCTAATGAACAAAACTGCTCATGAGGGGAAGACCACCAATTGTTATGTGTGTGCCCATCTACCTTATGCTACTCATAATTCAGGTTTGCGACCCTAAACTGTATCTATGGCCCACAGGCATGCCTGTACGGTTTGAGCATGCACCCAAGATCAGATAGCTGGGCGAAGCGGAACTACACCATGCCACGACCCAGTCTGGTAACAGGTACACACACTGACATACAGAGACGACTGGCCATGACGTCCATGGGATACAACTTCACATCAAACTGTGACCTGCTAGATGTCATGCCTCTACCCCAGATGCCTATCAAACTGCCCAAATTGATTACATTGGCACATCTGCCACCAGGCGGTCTGGGACATTGTGTTTTTAACAATGGAACCACTCTTATGGGCTCAGTGCCCTAGAATTTATGTAAAAGAGTGTACACCTTCTGTGACATTAAGAAATCAAGCAGGAATGCTCCTAACTACATGAAATGTCTTCTGTAAAGCAGGATTAGATTTTAACGTTTACCAACAAGATTGCTTCATGACAGAAGATGTCACCGACTGTTCTGATCTCCTCCAACAACGGACCTTTAACATCAGCCTATCGACAAGGAAACGCCAGGAAACCACCTACTGCAGCATAGCAGTACCAGGTGACAAAGGATCACGTGTGTTAACTGATTGGTATTTTTTGTGTGGCAACAGAGCCTACACAGTACTACCACCTGATTGGGGAGGCCTCTGTGCTTTGGTCTCTCTTTCAAACCCAATGATCGTGCTGAGGAAGATATCAACACACTCACCACGTCAGACGCGGCGCTCACCGATGCCAGAGGTAACCAGGTGGGGAGGGCTCACCACCAGCACTGGAGTTCCATGGGAATTCAAAATTTGGAATGGAGGAGAAAAGTTCTTCCAAGAACTTTTCCCCATGGTAGGGGTTGGTGAAGTCTGTGATCATGTCGAAATTAATAGGTATGTTCTCTTACACCTCATTAACGACACTTACAAACTGGCAAATGGCACCCAAAACGAGCTGACTGCGATGAGACAGACAATTTTGCAGAACAGAATTGTTCTTGACCTGCTGACCGCGTCACAAGGAGGTGTGTGCAGGATCATTGGTGAAACATGCTGTACGTATGTGCCTGACAAATCAAGGTCTGGGGGAGACATCCACGACGCATTACATGATCTTAGTGATCTGAAGAGATATGTCGAGAGTGGCACTAAATGATCTGAACCTTTTGACCCATGGTCTTGGTTGTTTACAGGATCATGGTGGCATCTGCTGCTAAAAATATGCATTCCAGTGATTGTGATTTTAATTTTGTTCTCTTTTCTTTTTTTGCGTAGTCACATGCCTGAAAAAAACGATGATGAAAAGTTTTACTGGAGTGTTGGTCAATCTCCACCTGGCACGTGCCCAGGATGAGTACATTCCTGACAGTGACTACGTCCCACTGCGTTCAGTGAGACGTCCCGAATATGTCAACTGGCCGAGAAAAATGCAGAGTGATTCCAGTGCTTAAAGTAATTTTACATAACTGGTACTGAGATGATGTTCCCGCTTTACTCAGCCATGGATCTAGATGACAAAAAAAAAAATCATTTTTATTTGATTTTATGATCCAACTTTGAAATTACCGTTTTCTTTGTTTTTATGCTTTCTTATTGTTACATTTTGCCTTTTGCAGTTCATAAAGAACTTTTGCTCATAAAGAGCTTATTTCATTAGTTTTGATTCTGGTTTGATTCTTTCTTGATTTTTGTATTTTTCTGTTTGAGTTTGTCCTTTAGAGGATGCTGAGTGAGCCTGTACAAGGTCGTTGCCACTTGGGGCCTGGAACGATGACGTGTTTTTCCTTCCACTAGTATGACATCTGCCCTGGTGGGTTTTTCCTCGTCATTCACACAACATTCTTAGAAACTAAAAACTCAAAAAGAAGTATTTTACTTATTTGATTCTCATATTCATTGTTACAGCAGTTTTAAATAATAAATGGGGGGAGATGATAGGGAATTTTTTAAGAGTAATCATTTAAAACCTCTTTTTCTGATTTCTTTTCATTGTAATCAGCCAACTTGCTTTGACCAATTTCTGTGTGTGCGTCAACACCCAGTTATCTGTTACACAAGACTTATAAACTGTTAAGAATGTTCCAGAAGATGCTTCTAAATCACAGTTCTTGTTTATTTATCATTATCAAAATACTTACTGTCCTTGTTTTTCTGTTTGCCACGTCTGTGTAAAGAACCTTGTTATCAGCAAACTGTCACCAATAAATACGAACTGCGCTTCAAGCAAGTTGAACTAGATTCTGACCGTTAGAATCTATGTTCCTCCTTGCAAGGATCCGTTCTGAATAATCACTCTTGTCTCTCGTGTGGTTTTATTTAAGGTGATGGTGCACAGAAACCCATCAGCTTGCCTTTTGGCAAAAAAAAACAAAACAAAAGAAAGGGCTAGATCACGGAGGAAGAAGGGGAATTTAATACATTGGTGTCGCATACAAAACATTCCATCGCCGGGCAGTTTATTGTGCGACACCGCGTATGCGGTCGTAAAAATTGAGCTTTGCACGGACATGCCCTACGGAGGTACACGCGTACTTCCGCAGACGTACAAAAGTATGCGGGAGTATGCTGGGGGCTTAACATGCAACACGGAGGTTTCTCCCCCTGCCCCGACAACAAAACTCCCCAAAGAGATGAGCACCTGCCACCTGCTAAGCTAACTTTCACCTTTTCTCACCCTTTACTTTTGACTGTCGACACATTTCTAGTTTCAGAGCAGTGCTGTGGTACTTCGCAGGCAGACAGGCAAGAGCTGGCAGTGTTGGTTTTTCAAAATAAAGTAAATTTTAATGTTTCATGATATTTAAATTTATTTCAATTCTATATAAACCTCTATTCTGAAGGTGTGGTGGCCTTTATTTTACTGTGGCGGTGCGCCATAATCAGTTACATGTAGAGGACACCCTGGCCTAACATGCATGTTTTTGGTCTGTGGGAGGAAACCGGAGTACTCGGAAAAAACCCACGCAGCACAGAAAGAACATGCAAACTCCACTCAGAAGGGTAACTGGGCCAGGATTTGAACTGGCAACTTTTTTGCTGATAGACAACAGCTCTACCACCTGAGCCACCGTGCCACCCTTTACATAACTTATGAAGTTTAATAAAAATAAAAAACTTTACAGAAATATAAACTTGTTTTTCAAAATATACATTAATTTTAAAAAGCAAAAGAAATAAAGGGCATGTATTAATTTCAAAAATAAACTTCCTGAGAATATTACCGTCATGTTGCCATGACAACAGTAGTCTACACTCCAAGACAAGAACAGAGAACATTTGAAATTGAGAAGTCACAGAAAGGAGGCAGAATTTTTGACAGTAAGTTTTATTGTATGCAGACAAAAGCAGTGTGTTTGTGTGTGTGTGTGTGTGTGGGGGGGGGGGGGGGGGGGGGGTGCACTCCTGTGGCTTGTTATCTTTTGGTGGAACAACAGTCCACATAATGTTATCTGGGCAGCATAATTAAATTGTCATCCTCAGAATCTTTACATTGTCATGTTATCAGTTCCTCACAACTCTGAAAGGAAGTCCATGACCTGGTATGATGATATTAGCAGCCTGGAGCGCATTCTGGCGGCTGACTTCTTGTACTGCAGGGTTCAAACTCAGATTCCTCCAAGTGTTATCATCAGATGAGCTCTCAAATAAATCTCCTGCAATGAGCACAGTGCCTGCTGACGTCCCTCTGACCTGGACGCTGACATCTTGTCCTGTGTGACCTGGGCTGGGATGGACAGATACCTGTGATGGAGGGAGAACAGGGCTGTTACAAATCCAGCACCAGGTTGGGCTTCTCTAAGTCTAATCTGAAAACATCTGTACAATCAATGATTCCAGGATGCAATGAGGTGTACCAATCTACATACTCTATAATGATGATGTGTTTAAATTAAACTACGACATGGACACATATGATTAAACACATAATGGACACTTCATTAAGTTCACCTGTTCAGTTACTCATTAAAGCCAGTTGTTAATTAGCCAATCACATGGCAGCAACTCAATGCCTTCCGGCATGAAGGTGACTTGCAGAAGTCCAAACCAGGCATCAGAACAGGGAAGAAAGGGGATCTAAGGGTCTTTGAACGTGGCTGTTGGTACCTAAAAGGCTGGTCTGAGCATTTCATTAACGGCTGACCTACTGAGATTATAATTTTTTTTTTTACACAGAACCTGACCTACTGAGATTATTATTATTATTTTTTTTACACAGAACCACCTCCAGGGTTTAAAGAGAGCATGCCCAAAAAAAGAGAACATATCCAGTAAGAGGTCAGAGAAGAACAGGCAGACAGTTTTTAGAGAGGAAGTTGGCCATTTTGGGTCAAAGGGTCTTTTCTTTACGTTTCTCATGTTCTAAATACCCTCCACCTTGACCTTACTTTGCTGTACAAGCATGCAATTTAGTACACATGTCCATCTCCCCAAGATGCACAGAAAAGCCTCTGGCACCAATGCTGTACAATAAACAGGAAGGTGGCCATTTTGGACTGAGCTTCCAAATTTCACACCTTTGTGGTGGTTTACAGCCGCTATCTCGCTGATGTCCTTGACCTAATCAGGATGATCCTGTGTTAGAAGACAGAGAACGTGTTGGTCTGACATGCATTAAAACACAAAGTTTTTGCTGGACGATGTGGGCGTGGCGGCGTGAAGAATTAAGAAGTGAAGCCGTTGAAATATGTTTGGCTCTAAATTGTACAGATTTGAGCCAAGGTGCACTCTGAGATTCCTCTGTCAGCAAGACCCAGAGAAATGGTCCTCCTCCCTACCATGGGTAGAACATGCTTTAAACTCATTCCCCTTCTCTGCTACTGGACTTTCTCCTTTCTATGTTGTTTTTGGTTTCCAACCCCCATTAATTTCTGCCCAGGAACGAGAGGCTGTTGTCCCGTCAGCTCAAACCCTTTCGTTCCCAGTCTTCCCCCGTCTCCACGGGTGTCCCCCAAGGCTCTGTCCTCGGACCCCTCCTCTTCATCATTTACCTCCTTCTTCTAGGTCACATCTTCCGTAAATTTGGTGTCCATTTTCACTGTTATGCTGATGACACACAGCTCTACTTGTCAACAAAACCAAACTCCCCCCACCCACCCTCCATCCTCACCGACTGTCTCAACGAGATAAATCACTGGTTTTCTAACAATTTCCTACAACTAAACAGTGACAAAACAGAAACCATTCTTGTCGGTACCAAAAACTATTTCAAAATCAGAAAATCTTCTCATCCCCCTTAACAACTCTCTGCTATCCCCCTCGCCTCAGGCCAAGAGTCTTGGTGTCATCCTCGACACCACTCTCTCCTTCACTTCAACAACAATGTTACTCGGTCTGCCTATTTCCATCTCCGAAAAATTAACCGTCTCCGCCCTTCTCTCACACCCCGCTCCACAGCCATCCTTGTGCACAGTCTTGTGACTTCTCGGATTGACTACTGCAACTCCCTTCTTTATGGCCTCCCCAACAAATCTCTCCAGAAGCTGCAATTGGTCCAGAACTCAGCTGCCCGTGTCATAACTCAAACCTCCTCCTATAACCACATCACTCCAGTCCTGCAGCAGCTCCACTGGCTCCTGGTTAAATCACGCATCGTCTTCAAAATTCTTCTTCTCACTTTCAAAGCTATCCACAACCTTGCCCCTCCGTACCTATTTGACCTCCTACACATCTACATCCCCTCTCGCTCTCTAAGATCCTCCTCTTCACTACACCTCCATGTACCATCTGCCCACCTCTCCACCATGGGGAGCAGGGCCTTCACCTGCTCTGCCCCTCATCTCTGGAACTCTCTACCCCGACTTACGAAACACCACCTCTCTTTCTCTATTCAAGACTGCTCTGAAAACACATCTCTTTAGACTCGCTTATCCTTAACTTTGCTGTATGTATTTTATATTCTTTATGCATTTTATATTCTGTATGTATTTTATATTTTTTATGTAATTTATATTCTGCATCTATTTTATATTCTTTATGTAATTTATTCCTGTTGATCTTTGTTCTTACTGTAAAATGTCCTTGGGTGTCCTGAAAAGCGCTTTTTAAATAAAATGATGATTATTATTATTATTTGGCGGCCCTCAGGTGCCAGATGGTTTGGAGGAGAGCCAGATGGGCCTTGCTGAAAACTACTGCGGTCTACATTAAAAAAGCTGATCGCCACAGGACCCCCCCCCCCCCCAACCAGACTATAAGGTGGGTCAAGACGTCTGGCTCTCCACCAAAAACCTCCCCCTTAAGTTACAGTCTTGCAAGCTTGCCCCCCGTTTTAATGGTCCCTTTCCCATTTCCAAAGTCATCAATCCGGTTTCTGTTCGCCTCTCTCTACCCAAGTCCTTTCGTGTTCACCCAACTTTTCATGTTTCATGTATAAAACCAGTTGTGTCATCTAAGTTTCACTCCCCAGTTCACTCCCCTCCGCCTGATCATCTGATTGACAGATACCCCGCTTACACTGTCCGCCGCCTCCTCCGGTCTAGAAGGAGGGGCCGCAGACTCCAGTACCTGGTCGACTGGAGGGTTACGGTCCTGAGGAGCATTCCTGGGTCCCCTCCCGCCATGTCTTGGACAAGTCCCTCATTAGGGAGTTTCATAGAGTCCACCCAGACCAGCCAGGTGGGACACCAGGAGACGTCCCTTGAGGTGGGGATATGTCACGATTCACCCTTGTTAGGTTAGATTTTCTATCACCCTGTACACTGCTTGGTGTCTTTGGATCCTTTTCTTCTCTTCTGGCTGCATGAGGGTTTAAGGTTGTCTTCACTGATCAAACCAGTTTGTCTTCACTGCAGCACGTACAGCTCTGATTACCTTTCAATTAGCTGCACCTGTCTCTGCACCCTTTATATGTCAGATTCTCACACAGGGTGATTGCCAGATAGTTGAAAACAGTTTACTACCAGTAGATATCCCGCGCTCTTGAGCTCTTGTTCCTGTATCTCATAGTTTTTCATAGTGTTTACCCAGTTTAGTCACCTACCTGTCCTCCTTGCTCCTGTCCCGTTCCATGGTTTGTATCCTTACCTCTTTGGTTCACTTTCCTGGCTTCCTGACTCATCGCTCGCCTGACTTGGCCTTCTGCTTGACCCCCTGGATTGACACCTCTCTGAAAACGGTAACGACCCCCCGCCTGTAAGACTACGTCCTCTCGTCTCACCTGTCGGTCCTGTCACCCATCTACTTCCTAGTTTTGGACTCTCACCTGCTGAACTTCCCTCTGCACCTCATAAATTGGTACTGTTGGTCATCTGCTTCCTGGTTACGGACCCCAGCCTGTTGGACAAGCCTTTTCGCCTCACTGACCCCAAACACTGCCTCACCGCTGCGGCCGGCTGCCTTCTCTCACCAGAACCAGCCTCTCCTGCAAGCTGCCCAGTCCTGCTGGAACGACATCAGTCTCTGGAACCCCTTCAACCAACGAGACAGTTAGTGGTCATTTCTCTTTGACTGTTACTGTTGCCCCTGTCTCCAGCTTGACCACTAACCAATCTCTTCCTGTCAACAGACTTGTTCCAGCCCAGACACCCGGAGCTCAACACCAGAACCAGTTTCGACCCAATTACACTAAAGCGGATCCTCACAATAAAACTGATTTAACTTGCTTATTTGTTGTAGTGATTTTGGTGCAGCCCCATTTTTTAAGGGGGGTTTTGTTACATCCACGCCTTTCTCTGCGCACCAGCGCTGAAAAACTGTCCACTTTGATGTGTACAGCACTGTGGTGGAAGCGGCTCGTGCACCCTGGATCGTACACACCACATCCTGTGGGAGGCCCACCTTTCAGTGTTACCAGATATAGCCAAGGTTTTCCAGCCCAAAAAATCTATTAAAAACTGCCACATCACACAAAAATACACCCAATAAATATATTGTTACAGTATATTTACTGTTTGAACATGAACGTAAAATCCAAAAATTTTTGAAAAATGTTGGATTGTATACCTGGATTAATGAGCATGGACTTTGTTGTTTTCAACCAGTTTGACACGACTGTCAACAAGGAAGAGGGCGGGCAATAGAGGAGGGGGCGTACTGAAGAGACCATCTTAGCACCAACAAAACTGGTTTGTTCCACTTTGGAGTAAGCTGCTGGGGGAATAGTCAGTTTTGTGTTGTGTGTTTCCTTGACTGATGAAGACTTCCAGATCGAAGGTGAAACGTTTCAGCACATAAAAAAAAAACCTGTCCAGATGAATTGACTGAAAAATGTTGGATTTTATATCTGGATTATTGAGCATGGACTTTGTTGTTAAAGAACAAGAAGCAACAAAATGTTTGTTGAAACAGTTCAGGATCTTGTGCTTATTTGACACAAGAACAGAGTAAACAAGAGGTTGTGATGGGAGGTCAGATGATTGGAAGCTGCCTGAGAGAGATTTGATGGTTTTCCAGAATCTTTAAGGATCATTTAGATTTTCAGAGGTCTGAGATAAGAAATAGTTATGTTTTGCGGCTTTTATGGAAGTTGTACATTTATTCCTTATCTGCCGAAAACTCAACCAATCAGCGTCTGAGCCAGATTTTCTCGCTGCGGATTAAAGATGATCTCTCCTGTGCAGGAGGTCGGCTAGCTCAGGAGTAAACCAGGGGCTGTCTCGTCTTTTTATTCTGAACTTACGGAAAGGGGCATGTTTGTTTACAAAATAAATGAAACTATTATGGAAATAGTTCCAAGCGGTATTCACGTTGTCGAGTAATAGAATACGATGCCAGTCAAAGTGAGATAAATCCCTGAGGAATGA